TTATTGGCAAAAAATATAATGAGTCAATATTTACAGTGTTGACTCTTGTTCTTCATAATCTCTGCAATTCGCTCTGCCATGCTGGATATTAGCTTCTGGGCCTTATTAGTTCTTGGGAGTTGATCACAATTTGTGGGTTTCTGCTTGTCCACTTGCCTTTTGAGGACTGACAACAGGTTCTCTATGGGATTGCGATCCGAGGAGTTGCCTGGCCACGGATCCAAAATTTAAATGTAATGATCTTCGAGCCACTTCTTTATCACTCTTGCTTTGTGACATGGTATGATGGCTGCACGTTTCTTTGGAGGCAACCATTGCTAACAAGAACACAATGATTGGAAGACCTTCTTCCCCCCATCAGTCTGCTCTTACAGTCTAATTAGTATGATAGTGATTTCACCTGACTAGTACTCATTCACACTTTTACATGTGCTGCTGATATGATTAGTCAATTAATGTTAGCTGGTCATTTTGTGTCATGATCAAAAAACAGTGAAATGTTTTTTTGTTTTTTTGTGAAAAGTTCATTTTTTGGCCAATCAAGATTTTAGCAATTATTTAAAATGCATCTGATCACTCTACACAATAATCTAGAAACAATGTGAATGAACACCACAACAGCTTAAACAGCAAACTTTGCAAAACACAAAATTTATGTCACTGACAAAACTTTTGGCCATGACTGTATATTTAACTGTGTGCATGGGGTACTTTTTAACTCTGTTTGCACCAAACCCATCTGGTGGGTTTGCTGCCAAAAAGCTCTTTTTTTAGTTTCATCTGACCATAGAAGCCAGTCCCGTTCGAAGTTACAATCATGTCTGACAACTGAATATGCTGGAGTTTGTTTTTGGATGAGTGAAGAGGATTTTTCTTGAAACCTTCCCGAATAACATGTGGTGATCTAGGGGCTGTTTTATTTTCCCTGTTTGCACCAAACCCATCTGGTGGGTTTGCTGCCAAAAAGCTCTTTTTTTAGTTTCATCTGACCATAGAAGCCAGTCCCGTTCGAAGTTACAATCATGTCTGACAACTGAATATGCTGGAGTTTGTTTTTGGATGAGTGAAGAGGATTTTTCTTGAAACCTTCCCGAATAACATGTGGTGATCTAGGGGCTGTTTTATTTTATTAAATTTTTTTAGGTTTTCTGACCCCAAGACTCAACTAATCTCTGCGATTCTCCAGCTGTGATCCTTGGAGAGTCTTTGGCCACTCAAACTCTCCTCCTCACCGTGCATTAGGTCGATATACACACGCATCCTCTTCCAGGCAGATTTATAATATCTTTAGTTGATTGGAACTTCTTAATTATTGCTCTGATAGTGGAAATGGGGATTTTAAATGCTTTAGCTATTTTCTTACAGCCACTTTCTATTTTGTGACACACAACAATCTTGTTCTGCACATCAGAACTATGTTCTTTGGTTTTACTCTTTGTGATGGATGATTAAGGGAATTTGGCCTTTGTGTCCCTCTATTTATAATCCTGTGGAACAGGAAGTCATGGCTTGAGAATTTCATGCTCCTAGTCACCCTGGTGTGCTAAAAAAAATTTAAATATTAATTGGAATATACTTCAGAGATATTTTACTCATAAGAATTTCTAGGGGTGCCAATAATTGTGGCCAACATGCATTGGAGAAAAACATTTATTTCATAATGTGAGTTTCCCCCCAATTTCAATTGTTTTACTTCAATGATAGGTTAGAATTTTGTACATTTTTTGGATGAAAGATCAAAAAGATAAACAATGCAGATTTATTTTCACAGCCACCTTTGCTCATATTTACCAAGGGTGCCAATATTAGTGTTTGGCACTGTATATATATATATATAAAACCATTTGCTAATAATGTCAGTCGTGTACTGAATAACCTCTTTGTAAGAGAAGTACTGTTCCTCTAATCTCTTAAGGTCTTCTTCAGGTAACAGAGGTCCAAGTGATGAACTGTTGATGTGCTCCTCTAGTTCTTTATGCTTCAATACATCTCTAAGAAAAAAACATTAAAGAACATTAACATTTATGAAACTGAAAATTTATGTAAAACGTCATGCTTTTGAAAGATTAATGTTGTTTACTGGCCCTTACTTTGGGTAGTACTCCACAATCCAACTTAATATATAGAAACAATCCTCAGAACTGATTTGGGATCTGGCGAGCTCTTGAAGTCTGGTGGAAAAGGCTTTATGGTAGAGCTGAGCATACGTTCTGCAGATGTCAAAGTCTGGTGGGTAACGCTCTCTCAGATTTCGGACCACTGTGAGCAGATCCTTCTGCACTTGTTTGCCCATTCGGAACACCTCTCTCTTCAAGGAGGTAGACAGCATGTCTGCTTTATTCTCCTGTTCATCTGCATTCTTCATTCGTTCCTCCACGGTAGTCTGGAGTAATGTGTCATGAATCTGTCTGCACCTTGTGGGCCTCCATACTGGACGTTGATCCACGGCCACTTCCATCCAGCGTCTGTCCTGTGCCTCCTCTTTAAGTATTGAAGTCAAAGCACTCTTGAGTGTCTCCTGGTTGTCCTCACTGAAAGAGTCATTGATGGCCAATCTCAGGTGCAAAACAAAGATCTCATAGTCCATATGCAGCTTGTCTTCCTCATCTTCTGCCCTGGCCCCTTCTTTTGAAACGAAGAGACGTTCCTCAGCTTTCACCAGCTGTTGCTGTGCTTCAGCCAAACGGTTCTGCTCAAGGTTCCCATTGAAATCCAATTCCACTGCATTATATGAGAAGATAATTACATTATATTAACTTAATTTTTGCTCCTGCTAATTCTCATGTGTATGGTATAGCAGGAGTTTTCGAACTTTTTGATGCCAAGGTTCCTCTAATATAGTGATCATTTTGCGAGAGACCCATACTAAAATATAGCAGCTGTATTATACATTTTCATGTATAAAGATCTATTTCAACTTTGAGAGGAAAATATCAAGCGTGAAATAAAAACTAAATGTATGAATTGCATTAATATTGTCAATTGTTCTAATTGTAAAATAAATGATTAAAATAATATCTGGGAAATATTTACTTTTTGTATTATGTTTATAGTGCATTTTTTCTACCAACTATACTATACCTGATGGAGTTCCAGGGGATTTTGAATACTTCTGCCATTTCTTGAAGTCAAGAATTTTAATTTTTTCTGATATTTTGATTCTGATTTTTTGTTTCTGACATCCCACTTCAGGATCACCAGGAGAATCTGCTATGCCTTCAATAGTGTCAAGGTCCACTTCTAAAGTATAAATCAGAAATTAGAAGATGATAAGAAACGTGTTTTCTTTCATTTACAAGCATTATAATTTACAACACATTGAGCTATTTTACCTAACAGTGCTTCGGGGCTGAGGGCAGCTTCAGATTTTGAATTCTTTCTGTGTTTTATAATATTTTTCATTTTAATATTTTTTGGTATTTTCATTTTGTGCTTTTGTTTCTGACATTGTTCTTTGGGCTCTTCATCACCTATGCCTTCAATGCCAATGATTTCTTCACAGATTTCTTCTGATTTCTTATATTCTTCAAGGTTTTCTGGAAGCAGAAAGTAATCAGAAACATATATCAATTAAAATATTAATGTTATAAAATAAATAAATCCTCATATATATGAATATTGGGATGGAAGGAAGTGTCCCACGGTGGTTATCTGTTAGGAAGTGTTACCACAGGTTAGAGCTTAGGGTAGGGTTAGGAGTTACTGTTTGTTTTAACACGTGTAAACAATTAGCTGTGACTGACATCATGTGAATCGACTGCAGGGTGTATGTATTTTTAAGCCATTTGGTTTATGAGGACCAGTGTTGGGTGCAATGCATTACTAAGTAATTAATTACTCTCATTTAATTACTTTAAAAAAAATAAAAAGTAGGGGGTTACTCTTAATTTTTCTGTCATTTAATTACATTTACTTCTGATGTAATTGCATTGAATATTGTATAGACTACAGAACAATTCTATATGAAACAATAGTGGATATAACAAAAAATGTTACATCTAATGTTAAAATTAACACTGCATGGCCAAAAATAGTCACGTCTGGATTTAAATATGCAAATACTGAAGATTTTAGGATTGAATCATTACTGGAGTGATTAATATGTTTCTGGCATGTTGTATGTTTGGCAACAATTCTTTTAAGCTTTTTATTTCTCAAACAACCATGTTGGAAGATGTACCCATGTACAATGCCAAGTTTCATAAGACTCAAATTGTGAAAGACTGGCCACCACAGAGTCCTGACCTTAACCATAGTGAAAGTCTTTGGAATGTGCTGGAGTAGAGTTTACACTGCCTGCTCAAAAATAAGTTGCACACTCTTATATTTTGTTGGGCTGCTTTTAGCTTTGATGACAATGTGAATTCGTTTTGGAATTGTTTCTACAACGTTATGCAACATCACATTTGTTTCACATTTATTTCCATCAAGAGATTGTTCTGTCAATGGAGAGTCAAACCACTCACTGGCACATCCAAAAAGCCTTTCATTAGTGTTGAGATCAGGACTCTATGGTAACTAATGCATGTGTGAAAATGATTCCTCATTCTTGCTGAATCACTCTTTCACGGCATGTTGTATGTTTGGCAACAATTCTTTTAAGCTTTTTATTTCTCAAACAACCATGTTGGAAGATGTACCCATGTACAATGCCAAGTTTCATAAGACTCAAATTGTGAAAGACTGGCCACCACAGAGTCCTGACCTTAACCATAGTGAAAGTCTTTGGAATGTGCTGGAGTAGAGTTTACACTGCCTGCTCAAAAATAAGTTGCACACTCTTATATTTTGTTGGGCTGCTTTTAGCTTTGATGACAATGTGAATTCGTTTTGGAATTGTTTCTACAACGTTATGCAACATCACATTTGTTTCACATTTATTTCCATCAAGAGATTTTTTGGACAAGATCTTGTTCTGACAATGGAGAGTCAAACCACTCACTGGCACATCCAAAAAGCCTTTCATTAGTGTTGAGATCAGGACTCTATGGTAACTAATGCATGTGTGAAAATGATTACTCATTCTTGCTGAATCACTCTTTCACAATTTGAGCCCAATGAATCTTGGCATCGTCATCAAGGAATATGGACATGGGTATGTCTTCCTATGTTGTTTGAGAAATAAAAAGCCACGCACTGCACCAGTTAGAGTTCAAAGAATTGTGACAAAACATGCCAGAAACATATTAATCACTGCAATAATGATCCAATCCTAAACTCTTCTGTATTTGCTTATTTACAGTAAATCCAAATAGTGACTTTTTTGTAAAGGTGGGTATGTTTTAGTGTAACTTAACATTCTTCCTTAAAATACTTTGGTCAGTTCAAGAATAATTTTTACAATGTTATTTCATTTATTTTAAAGAATTAAAAGAGCAGTTTCATGTCTATCCTTTTATTGTTTAGCTACCTGGTCGAGGTTGATACAGGATTTTAAAAGTAATTAGTAATACGTAATGCAATACCTTTTAGAGAAAGTAATTGGTACAGTATAATCTAATTACACCGTTAAAGATGTAATTAATTACTTACGAGTAACTTACCCAATAGGGGTGTCGAAATTAATTGTTTCTACAATGCATCGCGATGCAGACGAGGACGATTCGGTATCAGTTCAGTAATAGACCATAACCGATTATAACGTACTGACGCTTTTCTGACGTCATTTGTCGCATACGTGCTTTGTCGTGGTAGCATACAATGGTGGAGGCAGGCGAGACGCAAGTGCGAGCTATTAAAAATGTCCCAACTACTTTAAATGCTGACATCTGGGCACATTTCGGCTTTTACGAACAACCTGGTAAGCACAACCTGGAGAAGACACATGCTGTGTATAAATCATGTCACACAAATAAAATATGCAGGGGGTAATGCTACTAACTTGAGAAACCATGTCAGGTTCAGTTCATATATTTGACTGCTTGGATTTATTGACAAAATTGTATACATGAACTAAAATTAAAAAATTGAGGATGCAGTGCATCGTCAATGCATCGTGATATCGAATTGAACCGAATCGATGACATGATAATTGTAATCGAACCGAACCGTGAGACCAGTGTAGGTTCACACCCCTATTACCCAACAACACTGATGAGGACACCGGAAGTGTCCCAGTACGTTGTAATTTGTTTATACACATTTGTGTCCTCATAAACCATGTATTCAAACCAGGTGTGCCTCACACGTCCTGAAAAGTGAAGCTGCAGGCTCTTTGATCGGCCCCTGGTGGCTGGCTGCAGTGCAGGTCATAAACCCTGCCCTCTCCATGTAAACAAATGAGACTTGAGTCAAAATTAAAAAAATAAATTACGCTTCCAATACAATTTTCCGAAAGATGGTTTTGGTCATTTAAATCGAATCGTAAAATCGTAAAAATCGACGCGTTTCAGAAAGGCGGGGCATAGAAAATGGATTTGTCATGGCAACTCTTCAAGGCAAACAATTCACATTTTTGTAAATTCAAGCAAAGACCCGAGGCACTGGAAAATTTCAATAATTTTGATAGCCGACTGAATTTGACAAGCATTTTTTTTTTAAAAAGAGCCGTGTCATCGGCCAACTGATTTATCAAGACACTTCTCCCTTCAATGTGAATTCCTTCTAACTCACTTGATTTAATAAAATGACTAAACACCTGAGCAACAATAAGAAAAAGATAAACTGAAACTGGGCAACCTTGCCTCACACCTCTTTTCAGATAAAATCTTTGTGTGGTGCCTTGACTTAATTTAACTGAACTATTGCCACCCACATAAAGAGTTTTCATGGCATTGCTGAAATAGCGCCCAAACCCAAAACGTTCTAAACAATAAAAAATAAAAGGATGCTCGACGGTAGCAGGGTGAGTGTCGCACAACTCTGACTGAAGTTCAATGAGCTATGAAAGCTCCTATCTTCTCATTTAGATCAGGGGTGGCGAACTCCGGTCCTGGAGCGCCGCAGCCCTGCAGAGTTCAGCTCCAACCCTAATTAAAACTCACCTGCCTGTAGCTTTCTAGTAACCCTTCAGACCTTGATTAGCTTGTTCAGGTGTGTTTGATTAGGGTTGAAGCAAAACTCTGCAGGGCTGCGGCTCTCCAGGACCGACGTTCGCCACCCTTGATTTAGATTGTTAAGCGCCAAAAAACTAAAGAAGAAGAAGAAGAAGCTCCAATCTTCTCTGACTCGGTTTGTTAACTGCGGTTGCCGCTGGCTCGACAGGCAGTACAGACAGTTGCCAGCTGCCAACTCCTGTATAGCGCACCGACCCTAAATAACCTGCAGTCGCACCGGTCTGTGCGACATGTTTGAACAGCAGCACAGTTACAATGGCTACCATTAGATTTTGTGCTGCAGCAAGTAACCCAGTGGCGGCGTTTCACACTGAAATATAAAACAAATAGAAAAGGAAAAAGTTTTTTTATATATATAATAATTAAACACTGCGTCGTCAGAGTTGGTATGTGGCTTTATCAGACACTTGCACTTAACATTTTATGAAAATCAAGCTCAAATGGAGTTAACAAGGTTTTTGACCAGCGAATGACGGAGATGTGTTTTGTGTGTCATTACAACGGACGCATCTGAGGCAGCAAGTGCATCGCATTATACGCTTTCATCAACTTACAGGTTATAACATTTATTGTAGCTATATGGGCGCTTAGTTTTTCATGTCGTTTAATACACTTGGCCAAAATCTCATGATAGACGATGAAGCGCTATGCACAGGATATTTAAAACGTAGCCTACAAAAGTAGCCTATTGGTTACAACTAGACGGCAAAAGCTATTCTCCACTCTTCAAACACACACCTACATTTGCCATTTATAGACATAGTGTTTTAGTGAAGAAAACGCTGTACTTATTCAAACATCATTTATTATTTACCCTTGCATTGCGAACAAGCCGAGATCTATCTCCAGGCTGCGCGGCGCTTTGTTCTGAATGGAAGCATTTGAGGATTTTGACAGTTTGAGGATCCATAGCGTTAAAAAGTTTAGTGACAAGCTCTTTTGAATGCTTTTCATTGGTTAAATATGTGTAAAACCCCCAAACAGACATAAGGAAGACCAATAGTAGTGATTTAAAACAATAATAACGAAATATAATAGAGAGTTTGGATTTTCCATGGCACACCTGGTAGGGTATGGCGACTGCCTTGAAGTAACCGGTCTGAATGTAACACAATGAAATCGCATCATATGACCCCTTTAAAATAGAGGAGGCACACCAATTGTATTAGTCTGGGATCCCTGCCGATTATTATTATTGTAGCATGTTCAAAATGTTGTTGTGTTATAGATAACAATGTGCTTAATGTTAGTGTTGCACTGTATTCATTTTTGTGTTGCGAACTGTTATTGGATGTTCGAGTTGGATGTGAAAAGAGGCTCCGCCCCTGTGTGTGTGTAAGGGGAAACAGAGAGGAGGAGAAAAAAGAGTGCCTCGCTGGTTCAAATTTTAGAAGTCGGGGTGTGTACGGCGTGGGTTGTGGCCGACAACAGCCCAAATAAACACCCCTTGTACATCAAAACGCCTCGTCCTTGTCTGAGAACGCTACATTATTATTATTATTATTTGCTTAACCAGTTTAAAATGGCTTTTTGGTTGCTTTTAGTCAGAAAACGTAAAGAAAACGACACACATACAGCGAGATAATATAATTTCACTTACCTGGCCTATCACTTGAAGCAAACATCCATCCCTTCTTAAAAGTCTGTGTTAAAAGAGAGCTGCCTGTTGCGCCATTTAATTAAGCCGACTGCTGTAGCCTATATTCAGCTTAGGCTGTTTTCCCTAAATTTGTATATATACTGTTTGAATGACAGCTCTTTTTTTCTCCTTTTCCCAAAAAAGCTTATAGGCTACTGTTTCAGCTATTAAAATAGTTCAGTTTTGTATGTAATGGAAAAGTGATTATATTTCGTTTCGTTTTTTTATAAAGTTAATTTAGAAAAACGTTTGGAGCATTTTTTGTTTCATTAAATGTGTTAGGAATTTTTTTTTTTTTTTTTTTTTTTAAAAATAAAGTTTTTTGGGT